CACTACCTTCTTCCCACTCAAAATAATAGAGAAGACAGAGGGAGAAAGGGTGGGGTGGGGGGTGGCGGGGCAGAGTGCCACATAGAGACAGTATTGTAGATCAGCTCTGATGAGTGCGGGAGAAAAGCCGCTTAGCTGGAGTGACTCCCTCCGCTGCTCTTTTACTCACTTTCAAAAGAAATGTGACTGACTGTGATGACATTATAGCAAATCATTTCAACACATTTAATTTTTTGTTAAGTCTCCCTCGTTAAAACACAACAAACTGACGCACTTTTCGAATGTAAAACAGTATGGAATTAAGTAATAGTGGTGATATGGATAAAGGTGAGGCTGGTTAATAAAGTTTGCACTCATAAAATGTTATATACGTCTCTTTCCCCCCCTAATTTCAGACACCTGCAGTGACTTGCTGAGGAAGCAGACTAAAGAGTCAGACTGCCTGAGTCGTGCAGCAGGGCTGGCTGTGGGTTGCTTTTTTTCTTTCAGTGACCCAGTTGGGAGGCACATTGACTATGCAACAAGACACAGACTGAAGACAAACTTGGCAGCACATGACTGGATAATCATCACAGTACTTTCATATTAAAAAGATGGGGAGGGCGAGCGAGTGATAACATTAGGGAACATGCTACAGAATATGGAAAGCATCAAGGATGAGATTCAAGGTGCAGCAGAAGCAGGAGGAAAACAGGCAATGGTGGTTTGCAAGGACTGCAGCAAGACGCTGAGCGATGGAAGTTCATATTTCAAGAAGTGTTTCTAATGTTCTTTGCCTCCGTCTCTATTGCTACAGATTAAAAAGGAATAAAGACTTTAGAAAGATATGGAGAACAGAAAGAGAGGAATAAGACGTTGGGGAGGGGAGAAAAAAAAGAGTCTGGTGGTTGCTATGGCGACCAGAGTGGTCTCGGCCATTACGCAGTGTGTTGGGGAGCTGGACTGTGCAGCACTTAGGCTTATTGCAGTGTGGGCTGAAAAAGAAGAGATATATAATATAGACGAGAGGGGCTCACACCAAAATGGTGGCTGGTAAGCACAGTGCTAATAAAAAAAGGGGGTTGAGTACTGAGGTGCTGAGGAAAGCCAATCAGGCTGAGCAAAAAAAGGAAGAAAGAAACAAAAAAGGTTTATCTCATTCGAGAAAATGGGAAGAGATCTAGTGGGTGAAACCAAAACACACAGACACAGTGATGTCCACATAGCTATATATATATATATATATATATATATATATATATATATATATAGATATATATATATATATATATATATATATATATATATATATATGGAGAGAGCGAGAGAGAGAGAGAGAGAGAGAGAGTCACTGATCCCCTCCTACAGCAATCAAATACAAACACTCTGCTAGTAACAAAGCCAAGCTACCATCTTCAGCTAAGCAGTGGAGTCATATATAATAACAAGCACAGCAGCTTATAAGACAGCAGCTCCCTGTACTTGCCTTTAAGATTTGGCAAATGGAAGCACAGTTAATTTCAATTATCTTTTTTCTTGATTCAAAAAAATAATCTAAATGTTGTCATCATTCATTTCCATGATTGAAGATGTTTCTTCCAGAAGAAAGGGTTCTCTGGTTGTTTTTCCCCCTGCATATCCTCTACCGCAATATCATTCCTGTATGGCACAGCTGTACTGTAGTTATAAAAACAACAACAACTAAAAAAAACAGCTTATATGGGATATAGAATAGCTAGCAAAGCTATATAAATGCATACATGTTACTGCTTATTTTTATATTTGCATATGTAAATCCAAACCACACTGAATAGAATTCTAAAAAGATGTAAGTTTAAGGTGAAAATCATTTTTCATATTTAACAAGCTGGAATCACAGCAGAGGCGTGATGCAACCAAGGTGCATTCTGGGTAATGCAACCTACAAACAGCTGGCATTCTTTACTTGTGTAAGTTCATTATTCACAAATCTGCTTTCCCTGAGGAAAAGATTACACCTACGACTTGGACTAGAACTCTTATATGGAGGGAAAGTAAACAAAAAAACTGAGAGAAAATGATGGAGATACAAAAAGAAAGATGGATGCAGGTAACATGTCGTTTAACAGGGTGATTATGATATAAACTTGGTACATGAAATACAGTAGCTACACTTAAGATGAGCTTGGCATATAGTTATAAAATGTGCTTGCTATGAGAAAACAGAAGGAGATTGTGTAGAAATCCATTATGCATACAGTCTTGTGGCTGCCCATTGCATTTTACTGCAATAAAAGAGGGTTAGTGCAGAGAATAAAGACTGGTCATGTGCAGCGTTCCTTGTTGATATGTGTATTTGGCTCAAATGGAGTGCAACAAGCTTAAACGCACAACAGTTTTGGAGACAAAGAATACAAACTGAGGAAAGGGTAATCTGATATGCTGAGTTCATGTGAGAAATTGCTGAAATTGAAAAGGCAAGAAAATGAATGTCACTTCATTCATAGGTATAATTTAAACTTCCACCTGGCAAATGGCAGATACAGGTGCGTTCCTGAGATGAGACGGTGTGATCGCTGATTATGTACAATCTTTGGTCAGTGCCTGCTCTTGTTCCCTGCTGTCTATTTCTGCACATTTCTAACTGTGAGCTAATCAAATCAAAGCAGGGAAATACCTCTATGCCAGCAGCTTCTGGTCAAACCGACTTTAAATGAAGAGGCACAAAGCAGTGTGTCAGCTTCCATGACTTCTTCCTGCTGTTTCTTGGCTTCCAGGGTAGTTCAATTGCCGAAAAGTCATTTGAAACTTCACATTTCTCTCACAGCTTCCAGGTATGAGGTTGCCAAACATTAAAAAGCAGTGGAAAAGATCTATTGTGAAATATAACTGGGAGAAATTAAATTAAAATGCAAAATCTCTTCATCTCTTCACTTAATGTTTTACACAAAATCTAATAAAAAAAACAGGTCTGTTTCGTGTTTAGTGTTTCATTTGGTCACCGTGGAATAAACGAGTGACCAAGCTGCTGTTAGGAGTTTGCTGATTCTTATCATTGTTAATTTTAATAAGTAACTAAATAAAATCGATCTAAGAATGGAGATTCATTACCTCTAGCCTTTGTACAGTACCAGGAGACACTCCATGTGTGCCAAATGGTAAAATGGTTTTACAGGGAAGAGCAGAACAGATTGACACAACTCCATGAAAGGAGGAAGAAAAAGGGTGGTGGCTTCACATCTAAGAAATTAGGGATAAGAGATGCTAAAATTCTGATGTGCATATACTGTGTAATACAGGCCAACTGTGGGTGGTCTCCTGTCCATTCAGTTACAATAAAGCGCTGCTATGCTTTATTTCCTGTATTTTTTACTCTCCAATTAACATTCACTCTAACCTGCAGGGCAGCACCACATGTCAGCTCAACAGGGCCCCTCTCTTTTTCCCTATAGAGGGTCAGTGCAATTGGTCTTGCCAATGTCATGTGAGCTGGGAGACAGGTAATTACGGCGTTGCACTCATTTCCCCTGGTGCTCCACAGGTTTGCTATCGGCTAGCCTCTGTTGTACCACAGCCACCCCAAGATGTGCATTCATTTTTTTCCCTTCAGATCCCCAAAACAGCAAGCACTGAGGCACCATTGAAGGTTTAAAGGGGGCAAATTTACCTCAACTTAGTAGAGTGATCACTGTAACTTTTCCCCCCCTATTATCAAATGTAGCATCGAGTCATGAACAAAAAACGGAGGATTTACAAGGTTGAAGGGAGTAATTTACACAGGTAACATTTATCAAGTTTAAGCTGTTTCCCCCCTAAAAAATGGTCATTTGGAATTGTTACGTTTTTGGTTATTCTTCAAGTAACAAATTCTTATTAGCCCGGTGATTCTTTTTCACAGAATCTAAAATTTGGTGTCCAGAACACGGTCAAAAAAAGGAAATGTATTGTACAGTGCGGGTTTTTGAACGCTTAGCTTTGAGATGTGCTAATGAAAGACTGTAGATCAATAGAATAACAATTTCTACAATCATTTTTGCACTCAGAACTACTGAAACAACAGGGGACCAAGCACTGGGACAAGTTTAATGCCAGTGTCAACACTTAACAAGTGGATTCACGCAGCTTTATTGACATGTGCTATCAGCAGTACAGTTTGTGCATAGGGGTAAACGATTGCTTACAGTACAAAGCAAAAGTAGTTGGTCTAGCAGTGAAACTGTTCAAACTACGAAACACAAAGCATCTGCAGTCTTGGCATTACTTTAGTTGCCAATGTAGTTTTGCAAACTTATTTGCAGCAAGAGAGAGTTAAATCATCCAAGGTCAGAAGCTAGACACGACTGGCAGTCTTGTACCCACTAGTGAGAAAGAAAGATGCAATTGCCTCCCAGTGGAATTAACAAACAGACTCTTTTATTTGGCTTTACATAGTTACACAGTGTGGTCTTGGGCTTTCTGAGTCTACTGATGTTGCTCCAATGAGCCACATCCCTGCATTCACAATATCTCAAAAAGACTGACAAACCCATGTCAGGTAATTAGCCTAATTAGTCACTCACTTGTATTTTCTTCTCCCTAGGCTCACCGCTACTCCTACATGGAACTGAAGCGTGCTATCATTAATATCACCTCGCCATGGATCATAAAACACTGTATGTCACCATGATAAAAGTGCTAGCTCTAGCATGAGAATGGACAAATGATAACCCATACTAGTCGGATAGAATGGCTTTAAATTACACTACCAGATGACTGAATTAGTTGAGTACCCATTGGTTATTTTGTACTGCAATGACTCACCCATTTTCAGCCCTTTTGTTACAATAATCAAGAAATTTGTCTCAATAGCAGCAATATCAACAGTGTTTGAAAAATAGCATTATTTTCTAAATTTTCTGCATAAATCGCTCACAAAATACATTTTAAAAGTGACTTTTAGAACTGAAGATTTTTTTAGATTCAGTTTAAATGAAACATCGCATTGAAAGACATTAAAGTAAGCTATAATAGCGGGTATTCTATGAAGATGGAAGTTGAGTTACCTTCATATGCAGCTTTGAATCCCTGCCCGCTGACCGCATAGTCAGAAAGCAGCCACAATGTGAGCCTGGAGCCCGTACTCACAATTGGTGGAGGCAGCTGGAAGCCAGTTAACCTAAGAACAAGTGGACAGAAGGACATTAACGGTGAGACAAAAAAAAGAAAAAAAATTAAGATCCAATCAATAGCACAGTTGGTTGCAAGGTCAGGTATGAAGCCCACTTCCATCACACCAGCTTCTATTAAGCCAGCTGTTACCTCAGGCATTCAAGGATCACTTTTGTATAACGAGGCTCTGAATCATCAGCAAATTATTAAAATGCCAAGACCTCAACAAGACAGTTAACTAATTTCTTTCCATCAGCAAAGACACAGTAAGTGCAATCATGTATTCACAGTAAATTAGAAACACAGCAGCCAGCAAACAGATAGCAAACATACTGTCAAACTGATTCAACAATCATTTCTAATAACCAAGCCAGTAGTTTGCAGATTATTACATATATTACATGGCCATGTGTCTGGTAAAGGCGCTGGTGACTCTTTAAAGCTTTTTCCACTTTCCCCACCAGCTTGGTGAAGCAAACCTGCTTCTAACTATCTATTTATTTTTTAATGTTTTCATTTTAATGTGAATATTTAATGAGTTTTACTTGTAAATATAAATATATCTTTAGCCCTCTTAACCTTGGAAACTGTCCTCCTCCTTCGCAGGACTCCCAATTTAATAAATAAGAAATAAACATATGCTCACTGCTGCGAGTATGAAAACACAGAATATGATAAAATGCCAAATAACACGACAATCAATAAATGATTTGTTAATTATTGTGATCCAGATTTATACACACTAGAACTCTGAAACCTCTTTTGCAGATTGGTGGTTGCCTCGGATTTGTCCGTGTCACACGCCGTGAATAATGCGCATAATACCAAACAATATTCTCTCTCCAAGAATAGATGAGATCGCATAATGCATACCACAACACATATTACTTATGCATTCATGATATTTGATGTTGTGGCCAAGTGGCCCAGGTGCACATGACGCACACACACCCCCGGACCATGACAGGCCACACCGAAGGCAGTGGCAAAACATTGGCAAGGCACATGAATGCACATTTAGGAAGAGTTCTTACATAGTCAACCAGAAAAAAAGGGTATTGGAATAACATTGTCACCTCTGTTGGTGGATCTGTTTATGTAACATGTGGTACAACGCACAAGCATATTTAAGATTATTTCAATATGCCTACATTTAGCCTGGAACGGAGAGTTTTCTGCAATAACAACCAAATTCTATTTCCAAGTGGGCCAATTCTAACATAATTCAGGTGTTTTCCTATCTCTGAACTGATACAGAACAGTGCCTTTACAAACAAACTCTCAAAAACTAAACCAAACTTTCTCTAGCATTGATAAAGTGAAGTGCTAAAAAAGATGAGCTTTTGAGTGTTAAGGAACATCTCGCTTGTGCTGGGCTGGACCCCCTTTTGGCTTCAGAACTGCCTTATTTCTTCATGGCAGAGATTGAGCAAGATTCTGGAAAGATTTAGGTCCATACTGACATGATAGCATCACACTATTGCTGCATATTTGGTGACCACAGATCTATGACTCAAATCTCCCTTTCTGCCAAATTCCAAAGATGTACTGAGATCTGGTGACTGTGGAGGCCATTTGAATTACGTGAACTCATTGTCATGTTCAAGAGACCAGTTTGAGGTGATATGATATATGATCCTGACATGACACGTTATCCTGCTAGAAGCAGTCATCAAAGGTGGCTACACTGTTGTCATAAAGGAATGGACACAGTCAGCAACAACACAGGAAGGCTGTTGCATTTAAATCAACACCAATGCTCAGTTGGTACTAAGAGGTCTGTGAAGAAAATATCCCTAAATCCCTACAAGACAACAACAACACTAGCCTGAATTGGTGATATAAGACAGGAATGATCCAACAATAAAAGCCACTCAGTTAAAATCAAGAGAAAATCAGGAGTATGAACTGCTGACAGAAGACAGCATGGATCCATGTTTCAGTTGTTTTCTGATCCTACCATCTGAATGTCTCAGCAGAAACTGAGACTCATCAGACAAGGCAACATTTTGCCAGTCTTCTCTTGTCCAATTTTGACCAGCCTGTATGAACTGTCCCTGTTCTTTTTTGGCACCCAGTGTGGTTTTTTGCTGCTATAGCCCATTTCTTTCAAGGCTGGATTCGCTGTGCATCTGGAGATACTCTTCTGCATACCTTGGTTGCAACGAGTGCTTATTTGAGTTACTATTGTCTTATTATCAGCTCATATTAGTCTGGTCATTCTCTTCTGACATCTGGTATCAATGAGACATTTTCGCCCTGAGGAATACTGCCCACTGAGTATTTTCTCTTTTTTAGACGTTTCTCTGTAAACCATATGCAGGAAAATAGATCACCACTCTCTGAAATAGTCAGATTAGCCCATCTGGCACCAATAACCATTGAAAGTCGCTTAAATCATTCATTGCATGACACCAGGCAAGGCAGTCAACTGCTTGGAGCCCCATGCCATTTGGGGGACCCAAAGGGCTGACAAACTTTAAACTTCTGTTTAAACCTAATGACTAATAGATCCAGAATGTGCTAAGACAAAATATCTCCCACACCATTACACCACCACCACTAGTAGGAACCAAAAACTAACTTTGTATCTTAATTTTGTTACTGGCAGCCTATCAGAAAAAAGACATAATTTGATCTCCTTGACATGGGCCAAAAACTTATGGTAGGGCAGGCATAGACATTTGAGGAAACTGGACAAGTGAAGACAGAAGACAAAAAAACATCTACAGCAAATGAACAGGATATGCATATGAAATATGAAAAAACTCTGTTTTTCTTTTCATCTTTTGCTGGTTTGGGGGATCTTATTAAAACTGATGACATTATGAAAGCAGATAACTATAATCAGAATTAGATTTACAATGCAATATAATCTACAAAGACAAACACGCTGTGCAGTAAAAGCATACCTGGAGAGAAACACAACCCCGACCTGAACATTACTGAAGCAGTGTGGGATCATCTTGACACAGAATATAGCAAAAGCTCACTTCAGTTACTAGCTGTAGCCAATTAGCGAAATAACGAAAAAAAAAAACATAACCTTGTAGCCAGCAAACCCAAAACTCTGTTGGGAGCATGCACACATTGTATTTACTGCTTTCTGTATCATAAGATACAAGCTAGGTAGCCATTATATACAAATAATAAAATATAAACCTACTGACCTCAGTAATTTATTTAGTTATAATCCAGACTTCCCCAACTCCAAATCTATTTTTGTGGTTGTTGTTGTTGTTGTTGTCCCCTCCCTTCCCACCCCAAAATTTAAACTAAATAGTTTCACTGGCCGATATTTGCTTCCTGATGTACTTGCACAACGTGTGTATGGTTCAGTGCCCCCTGGTGGAAAGAAGGTAAAACTGTATTTTATACTTTCTTTTTTGGTTTATCAAAAACTACTTCCAGGGGTATTTTGTTTGTTTGTTACCAACACAAATTAAAAGGCCACAGTTTGCATTCAAAATATACAAATGTAATAGTGTCAGATAGGAAAATGTCAATGTAAATGACATTTTTTCGCCATCATATCCATGTAAGGTGAAGATTGAACCATGTGAAAAAAACCCCAAATCTATCAAAACTTATGTACTTCTGTTGCTACTTCTTTTGGACATTTAACCTTTCTTATTCTTCAACTCTATGACTCTTTTACACCATTTCCCTCTCCATCTGTGCCCATACAAGCTGCTCTGAATGGCCCGGCATGTGAGTTGCTGTAGATGGTAATTCTTGTAGATCTGTGAAACAATCCTCGCTTCTGTTTTTTTTAAATTGATTTATTTTATTTAACTCACAACTATGCACTTCAATCTGCTACTGGACTTTCTGGCTCGGCTTTTTCACCTTCTGTTCTCACTCACAAGTCTGCCATGCGCCTACTGCTTGACAATATACTCGACATTGAGGGACGGAAAGTTGAGCTTTTTGTAAATCTCGCAAATGAAGTGAACAGAAATGCTTTTAGAAGCTCCCACTCCGAGGTCTGTTTGAGCGGACATCTCAAACTGAGCACACACAGGTTCCCCTTGCATCTAGATGCAAAGTATCAATCATTGTTTGACTATAGTGCACCTAAGTGAAAATAGTTTAGATAAGTGAGCCTTGTCTTATTATGGCCTGCTTCCAGCAGCACTTTTGCAGGTTGCGCTATTCAATCAGTGTTTACCATCCACACAACAGAGATGCCCACATATGCATGCTAATTAAAAATTAAAAATCCAGGTGTCCATTGTGTCCATTGTTCATTTGTGGCCAGTTACCACAGACTGATTAATCTGCATACAGTAATGACTGTGTGCATGCACGCGCGCGTGTGTGTGTATACGTTTTACATCCCTGATTTACAGATTCTAATAACAGAATATGTTGCCCACCTAACTTTTAGCTCATCCTTGAAGTTTCCCTTCAATTTAAAACATCCTCTCTCTCTCTCTCTCTCTCTCTCCCTAACTCACTGCCTGTGTATCCCACTCTTTACAATCTATTACATTCCCTCACTTTTATCTCTTAACATTAAGAGAGGCCTCTGTGTTTCAACTAATCCTTAAGTACCACACCAGAGGTGGGAAAATTGCAAAACACCAGAACTGGAGGGATGTGTTGGACCAAAAAAAGGTGGAGAGGACTTTATTAAATGTGTGATTTCACTCCTCTCTGTGCGACACACATAGGGGGATATCAGCTAAATGATGGGACACATGTTCATGCAAATGGCTCCTTCGCTGACCGCAAATTGACTTGGAAGGCAGCCATCTTGGTTCAGCAGGCAGGGCACTGCCGTGAAAAGGGGGTTTGACAGAGGGTATCATGGAGCAGCTAGAGAGGGGAGCAAACTGGCCTCTTGCATAAGGCAGAAATGTCCCTGAATCATATTTCCAAGCTAAGGGAAAAGAAAATGGATACAGTTGGGAAGCACAAAGAAGCTGACTTCACAAGCAGAGGTAGATTAAATTTTGCAGTGTGATATGGGCTGTGGCAATCTGAGGAATGCAGCTGCTATTG